AATAAATTCTTGTTAGCTTTATAAAATTGTCTCTATTTGCATTTTTTGTGTGTGAGTGCTGTGTCTGGCTGTGTGTGGCAGGCAACAATAAAATTTCGGCTGAGCAATTTTCGCAGGGTCATAAGGCGGCAGGGCAGGCGGTGCAATGGTTTCGCTGCAGCTTAGATCAACATGCAATTTTGGAAAGTACTTTGCTGGCGGCTCATGTCCATCGAAACAAGTAAACCAGGCCGCGCCCGCCCGCAAGTGCTTCACTCAAATGGAGCTTAACTCTTTTGACCATGCTGGCCGGAGTGCAATAAGAAGTTTAGAACTCAACGGTTACTTCAAAACTTTCTCTTTAGCTGTTAGCTGCACTGGGAAAAAAGCTGCAAAAAAAAGAATAGGAAATTATTTGCAACTTTATTTGATATTAAATTGTTAATCTGTCGGCACTCTGGACTACGTCTTGGGACATGCATACATACATATGTATGAAGTGGTTGAAGAAGCTGGGAAGTACTTTTCAAAGATTCTGAAGCAAACGAATTCCGATTTAGTGACCCAAAATCGATTACAAATTGCTAGGCTCATCTCAGGTAAAATCAAAATTTAAAATTTATTGGGTAGAGTTACAGGAAAATACTCCTTGTGCCTCGTGAAGTTACAATTTTCTTGATCGAAGATATTTCTTAATAATTATGAATTAGCCGAAAACTTAATTAACTAATTTTTTTTCAATGTAACGTGATTTTCGGAATGTTAGTTTCTGCAATTTTCAATGTTGCAACATTTCTTGCTGTTTCTGGCAGACCCATCGTCCGTTTTTCAATCTCTCGAAACATAAATTACAAATATGGCCAAATATGTAGCCTTAACTGTTCGTATATTTGGTATTTAATTTAGTTTCCTTCCACCATTCGTCACTTCTTAAAATTATTCGACTAATTAAATATTTCAAACAATTTTTTTTTCTTTTTTTCAGGTGAAAATTTGGTTTCAAAATCGACGTATGAAATGGCGCAACTCCAAGGAGCGCGAACTACTGGCCAGCGGCGGCTCACGTGATCAAACATTACCCAACAAGAACAACCCCAATCCCGACTTATCCGATGCTAAATGCGATCGCCCCATTTCACCGCTCTCGCCAACTCCTCCATCACCACCCTCGCACAGCCTATCGCCACAACCCAAAGAGGAGCGCGCCAATGCCGACACACCAACCAACAACGGTGCAGCCACGCCCAACGCCATGCAATCTCCGGCGTCCACGCCCTCCGCATCTGCCACGCTTCATTCGCCACCGCTCATGCATCATATACCCAGTAGTGTGGCTGTGGCAGCTGCCGCCGCTGCGGTGGCCTTCAGCTCGGCGCCGAGCATGCAAATGAGCTCACCACCTCCGCTGCTGACCGTCGCCGCCAAATTGAATGCCAATCTAAACGATCAATCATCGAACGCATCCTCTTCGGCTGCCTCATCGCCACCGCTTTCTGCTGGCGGCGGCGGCATTGTTATTGGTGGTGGTTGCGGTGCCGGTGCCGGTGGTGCGAGTATTGGCATGCCGCCTTTGTCGAGCGCCGAGTTCCAGGCGAAAATCAATGCGGAAATGCAAAAACATCTGGCCGCTGCCGATCTCAAATTCAAATTGGAGTCAACAATCAACGAAGCTAAGCAGCGGCGCATCAATATGCTGAGTCTGGCCGGCGCTGTAGCAGGCGCAGGTGGGATTGGTGGTGAACAGCATTCCTTGCAGCTGCACGCGGCCCATCCGGGCGGCATTTTCATGAGTGAGGCACTGCAGGCGTCGCATAACCACCAACACCAACACCATCAACACAGCAGCAACGGTATGCACTTGTCAGCATCGCCGCCAGTACCAACGTCAGCGCATTCACATGTCAGTACGCACGCGATGCCACCATTCCAGAATCCGGAATTCATGAAAATGTACTACGACGACTACGATGATTCAAATTCAGATAGTGATGAGGAAATCAGCGTAACGTGACCACATTAAACGAATGAAAATCGACGATTACTTGTACATAAATGCATAAATACTAAGTATGTATGTATGTCTAAAAAAATGCAACGTTTTTGCTAAATTGTAAATTATTTCTTAATTGTAATGATGTAGGTAAGACTTGGGCCAAAAACATTAAAAAAAACTACGCATACATGCATATACATATATATGTATACACGCATATGGTATATGTATGTATGTTTTCGTTTGTATTAAAATGTGTGAGTTTATAAAGCCCGTATGCTTTCGAATTTAAATTTCAAATAAAGGTAATATAAAAATTAAAATTTTAAATTTAAAAAGGCAACAAAAGGAAGAAGCAACTTGGTAAGTAAGTACATAACTACATAAATACATATTCACAAATAATAATAAAAATATTATGTATGTATGCATTTAGACCATAGCTGGGCACACCAACACAGTCTCATTTTGTCATGGTATTAGTGCGTCGCGCTCAGTTATGGTTGCCGCATTTTTTATAAATGTACTAAAAGTGGTATTTTTCGTGCATGGGTATTTTGGCCTATTTTGCTTATACCTATAGTGTAATAATGAACCTTGGAAGTTTTTAGTTACTAATACTATTAGTTTATACAACCTTTTGCATAAGAAAAATTTAGTACTTGTATAATTTAAAAAAACTTAAATTAGGAAAACTCATTTGTATAATACCTGGGCTCCGTTTTATTAGAACCAATTCTTTTATATGCTGACCGGCCAGATGGTTACGGTGTTTAGGTCTTATTTTTTAACCGACTTCCAAAAAAGGAGGAGGTTATCAGTTCGTCGGAATCTTTTTTTTTTTTTTTTTTTTATGTATGTTACCGCATAAGTTTGGACCACGTCAACCGATTTCGATAATTCTTTTTGCATCGGAAAGGTAGTGTCTCAGAGGTGGTCCCATACTAATCTGGTTAAGATCCGATCAGTGGATCGTGAGATATATATATATATATATTTTTTTTTTTATATGAGAGTTGAAGTCGGTTTTTTTTTTGCTAAAAATTACTTGTTTCATATAAGTAGGTATTTAGTCTTAAAAATAGAGTATAACTTATAAATATTATTCATTAAGTATTTTTGGGCATAAACCAGCATTTACATTTCTCTATCGATTTCTCGCATGGGAATGCAACGACTCTACGGATAGAAATTCTTCATAAGTATTGAAGTATTTATCTGTTGTTCTTACGTAAATAATTAATTGGCATATGTCGGTAATATCAGTGCTTTCATCAAAACAAATAGAGAAATATTTACAGTTTAACACCCTCTCTTTGGTTTT